CAGGCTCCGAGCCGTCCGGGGTGGAAACAGGAAGACCCCTACCAGGACGTCCTCTGGCTGCCAGCAGGTTGTCCAAACGAATGGCCATGTTCACCAGTTTCTTGAAGGACAACATGGTGTCCCGGAAGGCTAGCTCCCATCGAACGTCCTCCTGCAGATGGCACCAGAAATGGTCGATCAGGGCCCGCTCGTTCCACCCGGACCCCGCTGCCAGCTTCCGAAACTCCAACGCGAAGTCCTGCGCGGTCCTCGTCCCCTGCCTCAGGTGGACCAGCCACTCGCCCGCCTCTTGACCCTCGGGGGGATGATCGAAGACCGCCTGAAAGAGGTGAGTGAAATCCCCGTAGTCCTCCAACACAGCTCCTCCTTCGTTCCACACCGCGTTGGCCCACTCCAGGGCTTTCCCACAGAGGCAGGAAACGAGGACGGACACCTTCTCCCGCTCCGATGGCGCCGGCCTGATGCTGGCGAAGTACAGCTCCAGTTTGAGGGATATCTGGATCCCTCCGGGTGCTGGGGTGTAGGTGGCTGGATCTGGTTGGCCAGCTGGTCTCGACAGATCGGGTCCTCTCCCCTCTAGGCATTGGACGACCTGAAGAACCCGATCCATCGCTTCCCCCAAGCTGGCCAGCATCGTGGAATGCTCCTGGACCCGTGCCACGACTCCAGGCATGCGCTCTTCTCCCGCTGACTCCATAGCGGGTGGGTGATTCTGTGATGAGTGTGATGGAAGGAGTCCGGCGCAGGAGGGTAATCACTGAATACAGAGTTTATTCCTTTGTGGACACACAAATGCGCTCAAATAGCGATCAACGAAACAGGAACAGGGGAAACACTCATCCCTGGCAAATACACTGTAACGGTAGAATCCAATAATACATAGGCACAGGGGAAATCTACCCTGGCAACAATATGTACGAGTAGCTCCACCGAGCTACACTACTCGCACAAATAACAATCACCCACAAGGACAAGGGTGCAGAGGGAACACTTATACACGGACTAATGAGGGGATTAGAACCAGGTGTGTGTGATTGACAAGACAAGACAAAGGTGATGATGATTGGGGCGGCAGTGGTTAGTATGCTGGTGACGACGAACGCCGAAGCCTGCCCGAACAAGGAGGGGAGGCAGCCTCGGCCGAAGTCTTGACAATGCTCTTCAAACCCCACTTCTCCTTAACCCGCACTCCTCCCTCCAATACCCACCTCCTTCCCTCTCTCATCCCAGGTTTTGTACCGCATACAAACAAGATAAAGCAATGTCTCATGTTGAAGAATCATCATCAGTTGAAATACCACTTCTCCTTAACCCATCTTTCTTCCCTTCTTCCCTGCCTCTCTTCTCCCAGGACCCCATACATACACAGTGTGTGTGAGGAGACATCTGAGTCTCATATTGTTCTTGTTTCAGTTCCCAGAAGGGGAAGCTCCGGTGCTTAACATACAGTTGAAGTCGGAGGTTTACATACACTTAGGTTGGAGTCATTAAAATTCGTTTTTCAACCACTCCACAAATTTCTTGTTAACAAACTATAGTTTTGGCAAGTCAGTTAGGACATCTACTTTGTGCATGACATAAGTCATTTTTCCAACAATTGTTTACAGACAGATTATTTCACTTATAATTCACTGAATCACAATTCCAGTGGTTCAGAAGTTTACTTACACTAAGTTGACTGTGCCTTTAAACAGCTTGGAAAATTCCAGAAAATGATGTCATGGCTTTAGAAGCTTCTGATAGGCTAATTGACATCATTTGAGTCAATTGGAGGTGTACATGTGGATGTATTTCAAGGCCTACCTTCAAACTCAGTGCCTCTTTGCTTGACATCATGGGAAAATCAAAAGAAATCAGCCAAGATCTCAGAAAAATAATTGTAGACCTCCACAAATCTGGTTCATCCTTGGGAGCAATTTCCAAACGCCTGAAGGTACCACGTTCATCTTTACAAACAATAGTATGCAAGTATAGACCAGCCGTCATACCGCTCAGGAAGGAGACGCGTTCTGTCTCTTAGAGAAAAAGTGAAAATCAATCCCAGAACAACAGCAAAGGACCTTGTGAAGATGCTGGAGGAAACAGGTACAAAAGTATCTATATCCACAGTAAAATGAGTCCTATATTGACATAACCTGAAAGGCCGCTCAGCAAGGAAGAAGCCACTGCTCCAAAACCGCCATAAAAAAGCCAGACTACGGTTTGCAACTGCACATGGGGACAAAGATCATACTTTTTGGAGAAATGATTTCTGATGAAACAAAAATAGAACTGTTTGGCCATAATGACCATCGTTATGTTTGGAGGAAAAAGGGGTAGGCTTGCAAGCCGAAGAACACCATCCCAACCGTGAAGCACGGGGGTGGCAGCATCATGCTCTGGGGATGCTTTGCTGAAATAAATCATTCTCTCTACTATTATTCTGACATTTCACATTCTTAAAATAAAGTGGTGATCCTAACTGACCTAAGACAGGTAATTATTACTAGGATTAAATGTCAGGAATTGTGAAAAACTGAGTTTAAATGTATTTGGCTAAGGTGTATGTAAACCTCCGACTTCAACTGTAGTTGGCAGTTCTCCTCATCCTCCTAACTACATAGTCTGGCCTCTCGACCTGAAGATGGCCAGACCAGGGGCATATTCTCTTCCAGATCCAACTCTGTTCTATTCTAGTACTGAAGCTCTGTCCAGCACTACTGTTCAAGTTTGTCCAACACTTTCACTGCAGCGAGAGAGCAAGAGAAAGAAGAGAAATATGAAAAGTGAGAGGAAACATTAGAAGAGCGTAACAAAGACACTTGCAGAAAAAAGTACTACATTTTTTTTTATGTAAAAAAAGATATCTAAAACGTACTACCAAACATCCACACCCAGTTCCATCCAAACCAACTCTACATCCAAACACCAGTTTGGAGGTTCCACTAAAACAGTCACATCCAGCAAGCGTGACTCACACAGCCACATGACACAGTCTGAGATGAGAAGCAGCCAATGTCTTACTCTGGATAGATGTCTTACTTATAGCTTACTTACTCTTACATTACAGAGAGTAAATCCAGTATTGTACAGAGTATTACACTATTCTAGCTCAATCTTATGTGGAATAAAGGTACTGTATTTATAAAGGGACAGAAGAAAAGAAAAGCCAAATGAACATATGTCAAACAATGGTTCCATCTTGTGCTTGGACCATGTAAAGGCATGTTAGATTCCTGCTACAATACTGCCCCGTTGTGGATCTTAGTAAAACAACTACACTCAGACACGGTGTAGGGTGAAGTTGCCCCTAGAAACTGATCTAGGGTCAGTTTAGCATTTTCCACACTAATGGTTAAGGTTAGGATTTGGGGAGAGGAAGATGATCCTATATCTGCACCTAGGGGAAACTTCACCCTGGAGCCAGACACACACTGGGTCATGTTCATCAGGCACAAAATGAAAAAGAACGGACTGAAACGGCGACTACCTGGACTTAATTTTCGTTTTCGTTTGCAAAACATTTTAAAACGGTTGCTTGACCTATTGAACACAACCCTGATGTCATGTTATGGTAGATACAGAACATTTTGTAAAGGACCAAAACACTTATTTCATCAGTATTGTAAACATTTTATTAACAGTGCTTTTCCAATATAATTATTATTTTTAAACACGGGTGGTAAAAAGCACTTGAGATTCCATTTCATTTTACATCATTAGTGTGAAATGAACCCCATATGAAAATAGCACAGAAAGTATGCATTCATAGAATTTAATTTATAGATATATATTAGCTAAATAAACCTTTACATTTTTCTATTCCCTTCCCTAATTCGATGAAAGCGAATAAGGTTAACAACTTCTTGGCATGCCCTCAATTTCATCCTTAATTCTGTTTTACAGTATTAAAAAACATTTCAAAACAAACAATGCCTCATGACAATCTCATGGGAAGAAGAAAAAAAAAAGTTAAAAGGAGATATAAATTAAGATAACAAAAGTGAAATGTCAGGATTAAACCTATTTTTCACAAATGGCTGAATTTCAGAATGATATTTGACTAAAAAAAGCACACTTGCAAGCAGCCGTCCACACACTCACAAACACCCCAGAATACAGACAGACAGACAGACACAGACAGACATGCACAGTTCATAGTACGCAGGTAGGTTTAACTGGGTTAAAGGTAATTGGAGCAGCTACCCTCTACTTAACAAGAAAAATCTTCAGCCTGCTCATTTGTTGCCATGGCGACAGATAGAGCCTGGTCTGGTCGCTTGGCAGAGGGAATAGAGATATGTCGACATTGATAGATAGAATCAGACTCTTATGGGAGGCCCTTTTTTTAATAGGCCAGACAATAGGAGTTGTCCCCATAGAAATAGAATGACCAGAGCAGACCTTCCCATTCAATTCAACATCATTCAACAGTCAACATCATGTTTCCCCCTCTTTCCTCCTGCTGTAATAATATGGTTAACAGAGGGTTAACTACCTATAAAGCTACTAGGGAGGACCAATTTGGAGAGGGCACAAAGAGGGGCATTCTGGGTACGGGGGCATTGTTGTTCTATTGCACATTTACATTTTTGTTTCACCTTTTCTTCTCTTCTCAGACTTCTTTTTCTTGAGATCTCATTCTCAGACCTCACAGTTCAAAACAGACAGCAAAAGCAATGTCATAAATAACCCTCTACTATGGTCAAATGAGAAAGAGAGCTCCAAAGCAACCTGCCGCAAAAACAATATAATAATAATAATAATAATACACGAGACAACAGAACAGTGACATTATTAATAACAATGATCATATTAACAAAAACAACAACCACCATTTGATATAATAAGCAAAAAAAGGAACAGTAATCTGTTGAATATAAAAAAGAACCTTTGTAAAATTGATTGTCATTCGTTCAAAGATAAAACGCATTAAAAACATCCAAGGCATCGACAGTAAGGAGGAATACCAAATGACTATAAAAAAGTGATAAGGTAGGGATTCACAAAACTAAAACCCAAAAGAACAGCACTTGAAACTAAGACGAAACCTGTTTGGTGAACTGAGGACTGACGCATCTGTACAATCTTTTGGCAGTGTTGAGTGGAAAAAGTCCCAAACAGGAAAGACTATGAAACACATACAATGCAATGCGTGTTCTCTAAACGGATCCTTCTTCCACATTTAGGTATGTCTCCACACAGGTAGTGTTACCACCACATCAGTCTATCTGGGTTTTTCCTGATCTGGAAGTCCTTTCCACTTCAATATTGCATTGTCCCAATCACTCATTTTATCTCCTGTTCATAACAACATATCAAACTGCAGAGAGCAGAGAGAGCGCAGAGCGGTTGGTTGCCAAGCCGGGTTGCATTGTGGTTAATGTAGTCTTGCGTTGCCAAGCATCACAGTATTCTCGTTTTTAAAGCCTAAACGGCTGGTGGCGTGGCTATGAGTTCCCACCTGATGAGTCTGTGTGCTGTGCTGTGATTGGCTGAAAGTGCTGACAGGAACAGGAAGAAGCTAGGGGTGGATGGCAGACAGGAGAAAGAAAAGTATTGACGTTAGAGAGAGATGGCATGGCTTTCATACCCTACTGTATAGCCGTGGGTGTGTCAAAGAGCAGTAACCCTGAACGCATCACAAGCAGGTTAAAGGGAAGAGGGAGAAAACACGGGAGAGAACCTGTACCTGAAAGTGTCAAGACAGGAGATCCTGTTCCATGAAACAAGAAAAAAGCAGTTTGTTTCAAGAGAAATGCTGCTAAAGCAGGCGTAACAAGAGGGCGTAAAATGTCCCCAGAGTGCTAGGAGCAGTGGCTGAACACTAGAGGGTGCTAGGGTTTGGAGGCCTCAGACTTCTGTTATGTTCCCCTCACCCTGCCAGTAGAGGAGCAGTCAGTCTGCCTTGTCTGTCTGTCTGTTTGTTCGTTTGTCTGTCTGTCCGTCCGTCTTAGCCATAGAGATAACTAGAGGGTGCACTTGCCATAATGGCATAATATGTTGTGGGCTCTATTTCTATCTTTACGGTCTTAGTGCCAGTCCTCATCTTCCTCTACATCATCATCTTCCTCAGATGAGTCATCGTTAGCGCTGTCTCCTCCAGCTGCGTTCCCCTCCCATGCCCCGTTCTGCCGTGCGGCCAGTAACGCTGCAGCTTCCGCTGCTGCCTGGGCCGCTGCCCTCTCCTCCGCCTCCTTCTGCCTCAGCGCTGCAGCCTTCTTCTCCTGCTCCGCGTGGCTCTTCATGTGGGCACTGCGGCTTTTCACCTTGTAGAAGATCCTAAGGGGAGGAGGAGGATGAGAGGGGCAGAGGTTAGAGGTCAGAGGTCAGAGAGAAGACTGGGTTGGCTTCATTGTTAGCTTTCGTATCTGTGGACAAGCACTGTACAGATGTGGTCCCCTGTAGCTCAGTTGGTAGAGCATGGCGCTTGCAACGCCAGGGTTGTGGGTTCGTTTCCCACGGGGGGCCAGTATGAAAATGTATGCACTAACTGTAAGTAGCTCTGGATAAGAGCGTCTGCTAAATGACTAAAATCTAAAAATGTAAAATGTAAATGTAGGATCCAAATTTGATCACCCTGTTGCAGGACATTTTTAACTTGTAATATATCTGAGGTTTAAAAAGTATTCTGAAGATTGTAATTTCTACTTGATTTTCCCTTACGAAAAATTTACCAACCGCTACAAAAATGTCCATTAATTATAATCCACATTTCCTGTTGCTGCAGGATTACTTTCCTACTGTAGAAAACTGGCTCAAATTAAGATCCTACATCTGTATGGTTTTGGTTCACAGTAGACAAATAGAAGGTCCGCACTTCAATTTGAAGAGTGTAGACCTTCTCTTTGCACAAGCACTGTACTGGGTGTGAACCTGAAGGAAGGAGAACTGATGAAGTCCAAATGCCAGAAACATTTGTCCATGTGTAATTACTTTTCCTTACTTCATATTCGAGGTTCACCAACCATACAGTGCTTGTGCAAAGAGAAGGTCTGAACTCTTCTTCACACAGTTTTCTACTGTGAACCTTCATTCTATAATTGGATGAAGTGTAACACCATGCCATGGCAGAATACTGCAGAGTAGTCTACAGTATATGGGCCAGTGAGGAATCGGATAAGGGATAAGAGCTGTATAGACTGGGGGCATAGCATGCCATATACATTTACATTTACATCATTTAGCAGACGCTCTTATCCAGAGCGACTACATATCACTGCTGTGTTTCAGTTGCTAGGAGGCCGTTGATAATAACAGGACTGCAGTTGCTAACTGGGTGAGCTCTTCAATCAGTCAGTCAGCAATGCTTAATTTTTTTATAGCAGGAAGCTCAAACAACAACCAAGGAGCACTTCTCACTATATTACACACGCACGCACACACACACACACACACACGCATGCACACAGTGCTCAGAGCAACCAACAGCAGCTCCAAGATTCCAACCTATTCCAACCAACCAGTACAAGACAGTTATCCTGCAGATCTTGTGGAATCTCAGTACTCTTTGATCAATGTTTCTCCTCCAATATACAAATCACAACTACCAGTCCATACAATTCACTGTCAGAGTAACATGCATCAAAATCACGAGCGGTGATGGCATTGGTTAGTGTGCTATTACTGTAAATGAAGAGTGGACAACTTCTAATTGCAAACATAGACAACTGTTTGACACTTTGCAATCAATCAATTGGAACTGCTTTATCCAAATCTGGAATCTCAAGACTAACTTTTTTAACTAGCACCACATAAAGAGTTCGGCCAACTTTGACAATAATGACAACACCATGTTGCTCTGCCTATTGGCATCTAAGACCTTCTAAGACATGTCTCAGACACTGACCTGTCACACTTCTTGCAGGGGAACTCTCCCTCTGGTCCGGCGGGGCCCTTGGTCCCTGATATGGCCCCGGTCTTGGGGGCCGGTCGTGGTTTCGAGGGGGCACTGGGAGGGCGCTGAGGAGGAAGACTGACCCTGGATGACGTCTGGTCTCTCCTCAAATCCTCCTGACTCTTCAACACCAGGACTGCTCCAGCCTGCACACACATTTTAAATACATCATTTGCTAAATGATTTAAGCATGCAAAAGATCATAGATGCAAGGACACAGGCATGGATACAAAAAGCACCTTCTCCTCCACATTGCCAAGCTGCCCAATGACCATGACAGCTGATCAGAATCAGACACAGGATGATGGAGGCACCTTAATTGGGTGGAATGGTATCAAATACATCAAACACATGGTTTCCATGTGTTTGATGCCATTCCATTCGCTCCGGACCAGCCATTATGAGCCGTCCTCCGCTCAGCAGCCTCCTGTGGAGTCAGGGTAGTATCTTGCAAACTGCACCCACACCTCTGTTCAGCACACACACACGCACACATCCCAGCTAGAGTCAACCTAACCTGAACATTGTGTATCTGGATAGTACAAAATAAGTACAACATAATAAGGCAGGTTCTTTACACAAAAATAAGATCAGATCCTACATCAGATCTTACAAAACATAACAAAGCTCTAAGTTTCACCTCAGGCCATATTTTAAAACCATAGACTTCTTCCAGGTCACCAACTAACAGCAGAAATTAGGCCAAAGGTTTTCTGAGTCATTGTTTGCTGACTGAGTCAAATAACGCAACATGGGGAGTCGGGAAGCCAGCCAAATCAGCTGTTCAGTGTTTAGCCACTAGAGGGCAGCAGACCTAAGAACACCGCAGCTTTGTATCCATAGCCACTATCCTACTGTGAACTCAGTCAAGGCAAGTTCAAAAGTGCAAATATTGTTTACTGCATGGGGTGTTGATCTCATACATCCATGAAAATGCTCATTCATCTTCTAGTCAGTGTCTCCTCTACTCACACAGACACAGACACAGTTCCCCTGCATCTCCCACTCACGTTCTCAGTGGCCTGTACCGTCTGTGTCATCCTGCTTGGACTGGAGCCCCGCTGCTTCCTGTCAGCTGACACCGCCCACTTCCGGTTGTCTTCCTCTTCCTTCCGAGATTCTAATCTCTGAGAGCTCTGTTGGTAGAGAGAGAGAGAGGCCTTTTATCAATTATATTTGCTCACTTCCTGCATCCTCTCTCACCTCCTTTAGAAAATGTCAAATTGAGGACAGTCGGCAAGGAGAGTCAGTGAGGAGAGTGAATGTGGATGGAAATGCGCTTGCTTGAAATGAGAAGGCCCTTTTCCACTCGTGCGTCATTAGGCAAATCGTTTACATGGGTGGAGCCCAAAATAAATGTGTAAAGTGCTCAAAACAAATTAAGTTAGTTGTGCAATACATTTCATAGACAAAAGGATAAGTAAAATGGATTTGCTTCCTGGCCAAAAGGAGGCCGTGGAGGAGGGGAGGACCATCTTCCGTTTACCTACTAATGAATTGACACACTACTCGATCACTTATGGGTTCTGGGTCACGGAGGAGAAAGGACGGACTTTTGCCCAAACGAGAAAGCGAGAGAGAGAGAAATAGTGTCATTATAGAAATATTGTTTATCTCGTGTTGTATCTGTTGGTAGGGAGATGCAGCAATATGTTTCATTGTACTTTTAGGATTGTTTATACAGTATACAGTAGTCTGTACAGTAACATGGTATCCCACACAGTACATTTTATGAAATACTTATGTAATGCTTATGAATGTGTTATGAAGTCTGTATATAGGTAGCCCTCAAATAAAGTGTAACCAAGAAATTGCAACTCATTTCCTAGGTTAAATGGGTGGCTGTGAGGGAGTGACATGATTCTACTCACTTTGGGATTGACTTGTTTCTCTGTTTTTGTCATGCTTATGAATGCAATATATATATATATATATATATACAGTTGAAGTCGGAAGTTTACATACACTTAGGTTGGAGTCATTAAAATTAGTTTTTCAACCACTCCACAAATGTCTTGTTAACAAACTATAGTTTTGGCAAGTTGGTTAAGACATCTACTTTGTGCATGACACAAGTCATTTTTCCAACAATTGTTTACAGACAATTATTTCACCTATAATTCACTGTATCACAATTCCAGTGGGTCAGAAGTTTACATACACTAAGTTGACTGTGCCTTTAAACAGCTTGGAAAATTCCAAAAAATGATGTCATGGCTTTAGAAGATTCTGATAGGCTAATTGACATCATTTGAGTCAATTGGAGGTGTACCTGTGGATGTATTTCAAGGCCTACCTTCAAACTCAGTGCCTCTTTGCTTGACATCATGGGAAAATCTAAAGAAATCAGCCAAGACCTCAGAAAAAAAATTGTAGACCTCCACAACTCTGGTTCATCCTTGGGAGCAATTTCCAAACGCCTGAAGGTACCACGTTCATCTGTACAAACATTAGTACGCAAGTATAAACACCATGGGACCACGCAGCCGTCATACCGCTCAGGAAGGAGACGCGTTCTGTCTCCTAGAGATGAACGTACTTTGGTGCGAAAAGTGCAAATCAATCCCAGAACAACAGCAAAGGACCTTGTGAAGATGCTGGAGGAAACGGGTACAAAAGTATCTATATCCACAGTAAAACGAGTCCTATATCGACATAACCTGAAAGGCCGCTCAGCAAGGAAGAAGCCACTGCTCCAAAACCGCCATAAAAAAGCCAGACTACAGTTTGCAACTGCACATGGGGACAAAGATCGTACTTTTTGGAGAAATGTCCTCTGGTCTGATGAAACAAAAATAGGACTGTTTGGCCATAATGACCATCGTTATGTTTGGAGGAAAAAGGGGGTTGCTTGCAAGCCGAAGAACACCATCCCAACCGTGAAGCACGGGGGTGGCAGCATCATGCTGTGGGGGTGCTTTGCTGCAGGAGGGACTGGTGCACTTCTCAAAATAGATAGAATCATGAGGAAGGAAAATTATGTGGATATATTGAAGCAACATCTCAAGACATCAGTCAGGAAGTTTAAGCTTGGTTGCAAATGGGTCTTCCAAATGGACAATGACCCCAAGCATACTTCCAAAGTTGTGGCAAAATGGCTTAAGGACAACAAAGTCAAGGTATTGGAGTGGCCATCACAAAGCCCTGACCTCAATCCTATAGAAAATGTGTGGGCAGAACTGAAAAAGTGTGTGCGAGCAAGGAGGCCTACAAACCTGACTCAGTTACACCAGCTCTGTCAGGAGGTATGGGCCAGAATTCACCCAACTTATTGTGGGAAGCTTGTGGAAGGCTACCCGAAACGTTTGACCCAAGTTAACAATTTAAAGGCAATGCTACCTAATACTAATTGAGTGTATGTAAACTTCTGACCCACTGGGAACGTGATGAAATAAATAAAAGCTGAAATAAATAATTCTCTCTACTATTATTCTGACCTTTCACATTCTTAAAATAAAGTGGTGATCCTAACTGACCTAAAACAGGGATTATTTACTAGGATTAAATGTAAGGAACTGAGTTGAAATGTATTTGGCTAAGGTGTGTGTAAACTTCCGACTTCAACTGTATATATATGTTCTAACTGTGCTATGAAGTCCTTCATATCGGTACTATTCATTGGCTTCAGGACATGCTTATGAATGGACTATGTATGGGCTATGAATGTGTTAGATATGGGTTATGAATGTGTTATGAAGTCCTTATGTAGGTAGTCAATCAACTCACTTTGAGGTCCAGCTCCTCCTCAGTGTTCCTGCTCTCAGGTGGCTCTGTGTCTCCGTAGATCAGAGCTCCGTTCCGACCGATCTTTACCTGTTTCTTATAGCTGTAGTAGTACTCCACACACTGAGCCACCGTCTTAGTGCTCACCTGTGGACCAGCGACATACAAAGAACACACACTTCAAATCTAGGCCTATTACAAGGTTTAGAGCAGAAGACGAAACGTCAGTTGGAGGGAAAAAACATCAACTCAACTCTATCCTCCTGAAAAAAATGACTCACTTGATTCAATTGCACTTGGGAGTTTTTTTTGGGGCAGAGGCAACCTCTCAGTAACCAAGTAGGAATGGTGAATGGGAACAGATTAAGCAAGACCCTCAGTTGACTTTTTCATGTGAGTACTGAGCAGTCCATGCCATATATAGATATATACATAGACTGTCACATACCAGTTTCTGGACCATGAAGAAGTCTTTCTTATAGGCAGTGATCCCTTTGTTAAAGTAACGTCTCTCTACTGAGGTCCAGCTGTCTGACCCTGAGAGAGAGAGAGAGAGAGAGAGAGAGAGAGAGAGAAAGAGAGAGAGAGAGAGAGAGAGAGAGAGAGAGAGAGAGAGAGAGAGTTAGACGGACAGACACAGACTGGTGACTGTCTGCTTCTGTATGCACAGGGTGGACACACACGACTGGTTGGATAAACAATGGTACTCTGTCCTCTGTTTGGGATTAAGCACACGCCACAAACTCCCCCCCCAAATCCCCCTTCCTCCCCGCTCTCACTACACTCCCTCGCCAGCTACCCCCCCCCCCCCCCCCCCCCCCCCCCCCCCCCCCCCCCCGTTGTCATTCAACAAGAGACGAAAAATGTTCATGCACATTTTTTTATTTAAAAAAAACTGTTAGATGTTAGATGTAAAATTTTGCGACTAAGATCTATTCGGCAAAAACGTCAAAATTAATGACAGATTGCTTGAGTTATCTTAGATTAATTCTGACTATTTTGACTATGGCGTCTCAATATGGACAAACAGTACTATTGCCACTTCCATCTCGTTTTTCAAGCAAAGGTCTTTTTAAGGGAGTATGCGAGCACACTCGTTTGGTTCGTCTAGCCGTGTTCTGACGCTGACGCCTTAAGGCTGAGAGGGGCTCTGGAGACATCCCTGCTACTATACTGAACAAAAATATAAACGCAACATGTAAAGTGTTGGTTTCATGAGCTGAAATAAAAGATCCCATAAATGTTCCATATGCACAAAAACCTTATTTCTCTCAAAGTCTGTGCACAAATGTGTTTACATCCCTGTTAGTGAGCATTTCTCCTTTGCCAAGATAATCCATCCACCTGACAGGTGTGGCATATCAAGAAGCTGATTAAACAGCACAATCATTACACATGTGCACCTTGTGCTGGACCATAAAAGGCCAATCTAAAATGTGCAGTTTTGTCACACAACACAATGTCACAGATGTCTCAAGTTATGAGGGAGCATGCAATTGGCATGCTGACTGCAGGAATGTCCACCAGAGCTGTTGCCAGAGAATTTTATGTTCATTTCTCTATCATCGTCGTTTTAGAGAATTTGGCAGTACGTCCAACCGGCCTCACAACCGCAGACCACGTGTAACCACACCAGCCCAGGACCTCCATATCTGGCTTCTTCACCTGCAGGATCATCTGAGACCAGCCACCCAGACAGCTGATGAAACTGAGGAGTATTTCTGTCTGTAATAAAACACTTTTGTGGGGGAAAACTAATTCTGATTGTCTGGGCCTGGCTCCCCAGTAAATCCATAGATTAGGGCCTAATGAATTTATTTGAATTGACTGATTTCCTTATATGAACTGTAACTCAGTAAAATTGTTGAAATTGTTGCATGTTGGGTTTATATTTTTGTTCAGTATAGAAAATAGAAGAAAATAACCCATGCAAGTAAGCATACAGCACTTTGACATACTTTGATGATTCAGATTCAGTAAAAGGACCCACAGAGTTATGCACACAGGCTTGCCTGTATGAATACACACACTACATAACCCAATAGGAATAGGGTACCACAGAGTGAGTTAGAGACACAGTAGGAAATGGCCAGCACCCATAGTGCTAATACTGCAGAGATAGTGTCCTAATCTATAGCATGACAAACCTGAGTAGTGGTAGTCTCCTAGACGGTGGTTCTTAGGGAAGATGGGGTTTTTCAACAGCAGGAGGGCCAACGCTCCCTGAAAACCAAGAACAACACTATCAGACCAAATCATTCACAAATTCACTCTCAAGAGTAACACATGAAACATTTGCTGTTTTGTACAACAATAACAAAAAAGATCAACAGCTTATGAGTCACTGAGCAATATTTGAAATCAAGGGCTACGTGGTTAGTTTTCAGAGCACACACCGGACGCTGACATTGATATTGACCGATTATTTGATATTGAGGCTGATCTGTTGGTAATTATGATGGGATGGATTAACAGGGAGAGTGACTGTAAGAGAGCAACAGCTTGCCTACTGCTGCAGAGAGAGAGATAGAGAGAGAGAGAGAGAGAGAGAGAGAGAGAGAGAGAGAGAGAGAGAGAGAGAGAGAGAGAGAGAGAGAGAGAGAGAGAGAGAGAGAGAGAGATAGAGAGTGGGTGCACCGCACACACTGATAACCACCCTCTGTCTCCTTGACAACATGGCCAAATGCTGCAAGCTGGAGCCACTACAATAAGGCCCTCTTCCTTACGCTCTTTTTTATCCATCTCCCTTCCTCTATCTCATTGTCTCACTCGCTCTTTCTCGCTCTTACTCTCTGAACACTCTGCTGAACCTTTACTTCAGTGTGTCAGTGTGTGTAAGAGAGAGTGTATGTGTGTGTGTGTGTACTGTATCAGTGTATGTGTGTAGGTCTGTTTTCTACATTGGGCAGATGGAGCACTGGGCATATCTTAGAACAAAACAACACACAGATTAGGGAGGATTAATGAATGGGCACAGTCACTATGGGAGCTCTTTCTCGAGCGCCCGTTAAATAGTGCTTACAAGCATTTTTAAACTCTCTCCATGGTTAAAGCAGTAATACTTGTATTTAATTGTTGTAAAAAACAGTGAGTGTGCATCATTAACTATCATCATAAATTGAAAAATTGAATTATTTTGACATTGGGAATTATTTTATATTACGCTAATTTCCCTATGGTGGAAAGAACGTGTTACTACATTAGACAAACTAACGTTTTCAACATAGCAACTTTTTGCTACATTGTGCACTAATGAACAGGCCCCTGGTGTAAGCTGATATGGCTGATGCTGAGGGGGCGAGGGATGTTTAAGGAGGGAGTGTTGCCTTGTCTGTGCCCAGCTGAATCATATCATGTGTAGGCTACACACAAACTGTCAACGCAGTTACTGAAGGCAATCTCCATCTCACATTCACAAATCTCCAAACTATCTGTGGCACTGGCAGAGGCTCACAATATAAACTGCTACTCACTGTTAACAAAATGGCTGGTACATTGTGTCCGCAAACGTTTGCAACATCGTTCCATGATGTTACAATAACAAAAGCGAGTGCACGGGCTTGACTGGTCAGATTTGTGGGGATTTGCTCCATGGTGCTTAATCTCTGCTACTACACAAAAAAAAGCTGGGTTAAAAACAACCCAGCGCTGGGTAAATATTGGACAGAACACACGCTGGGTTATTTTGACCCAGCCAGTTGGGTTGCGTGAATAACCCAACATTTTGGGTGGTTTGAATTACCCAAACAGGTTAATTTAACCATTAGTTGGGTTTATATTCACTTTCATGCTGCGTTGACCCAGAAGCTGGGGGAGGGAATGGCCGTCAGGGATGTAGCTCAGTTGATAGAGCATGGCGTTTGCTACGCCAGGGTTGTGGGTTTGATTCCCACAGGGGGTATGAAAAAAAATAATGTATGCACTAACTGTAAGTCGCTCTGGATAAGAGCGTCTGCTAAATGACTAAAATGTCAAATGTACATAGATTCAAGGAGAACGTGGCTACTAGGAGGAATAGTGAACTCAATAACCCCTGTGCTGTATCATACCTGTTACATGTTCACTACACAGTTTACACAGCTGTTGACATCACAACCCACCCCTTACCATACCATACACCATGTGTTTGCAGTAGGAAGAGAGTGCTGTGCTAGAGTGGCCATGTGGGTTTGATTCCCGCTGGGGCCACCCATATGTAAAAAGTATGTATAGATGACTGTACGTCGCTTTCGATAAAAACGCCTGCTAACTGGCATATATTATTATATTGTGTATGCATTCGGAGGTGGTATCGCTAGCTGATATATTAGTATGGATATTGGAACACAGCCTGCATCTAGTTAAATCACACCCACCAAAGCCACGGTTGTTCTCAGTAGACACAAAATGGAAGATAACTATCACAAACGGACAGATACAATCTGCACTTGTCGAATCACAAACACTCTTTTTCTTTTTCATTTTCATTTTCATTTCGCTACAGTGTCCCCTAATGAACACGACCCAGCTCTCATCCCCTCCCCGTCATCCCTCCTCAGTCAACATGACCCATCTTGCATTGCTCACCATGATGTCACCCTTGCACTCGTACAGGCAGTGCAGCGCTAGCTCCTGATTGGTCCCTCCTCCGTGCAGAGCGCTGGAGCATGACAGGTGCATGAGGTCATCCACTGGAGGGAGAAAGAGAGAGGGAGGGGGGAGAGGGGGATGGGAAGAGGGAGGGAGGGAGGGAAGGAGAGAGAAAGAAAGAGAGATCGGGATCAAGATCGAGATAGCATAATCAGCCCATTGTTGGCATTGGGGTCTTCAAATCACTACTGAATGTTTGATTTACTGAGACTCATTTCTATTTGATAAATACCAACCTGGTTATTGACAGTATTATGACAGAGTATTAAAGACGTGTCAGCTGATATGTTAGTCTGTTACCTCTCTCCTGGTGTCTAGGTTTACCCTCCAGGTCGTGGAGAGGAGCCCAGACCAGTTCAGCCTTGTGATGGTCGTGTTTGGCCGCTGAACGCTGCCTCAGCTCTGGAACCTCTGCCTGGTACCGGACGCCAATGTTTATACGCCTGAGATGACAGAATGTATAGTCAGTGGCTGGTTGGGAAGACAGAGAGAGTGGTTAAAAAAATGAGCATGAGGTTACCATCTTCGCCCTGCTATGGCAAAGCCTTTACTATTCTGGTGTCTGTGAAGGGTACAGCCATGTTATGGCTAACTCTAGATCAGGGGTATTCAAATCTTACCCTACGAGGTCCGGAGCCTGCTGGTTTTCTGTTCTACCAGATAATTAATTGCACCCACCTGGTGTCCAAGGTCTAAATCTGTCCCTGATTAGAGGGGAACAATGGAAAAATGCAGTGGAACTGGCTTCGGGGTCCAGATTTGAAATTGAGGGCTCTAGATCATATTTTTGTCATTGACAGGGAAGCTTTTGGAACTATTGTAAATGTTCTATTTAAAGAAATATCATGTGAATAAACGTTCTTATCCAGACATTTAGCTACCCAGGGGCTGGCTGTGTTGCAGAAATAAGCCAAAGCTAATCTTTAAAAAATAAATCTCTGCACCCAAAGCTACAGGATAAAATTTATGCTGTAAATCTATCAGATTACCCTCAGGATACTCCAAATATAGCTAATGGTTGCTTTGTCTGGAACGCTTCCACTGTTTAGCCTGCTACCTGCCTGTGCACAAACTGCAAAGGCCTGCAGACTGCTAGCTCAGTTCAGGTCCCTCCTCGTTCCTCGCAGAGTGGGCTAGCTGGGGCGCATTCAGCAGGTCACAACGTTGTAGAACGTCCAGAGATAAATATATTAGGCCTATGTACAAACATGCCTGTGACATCACGTCAGTTCTATTCATTACATTTCTATCTGCTACTTTCACAAACAAGTTGCAGATAGAAATGTAATGAATAGAACTGACGTGATTCTTTATTCTACATGTCACAGGCATGTTTGTTCTACATAGGCCTAATATATTTGCAACATCGTTCCATTATGTTACAATAACAAAAGCGAGTGCACAGGCTTGACTCGTCAGATTTGCAGGGATTTGCTCAACCACGGCGCTATCCACGGTACTGAATCTCTGCTACTACACAAAAATATTATGGGTTAAAAACAACCCAATTTGGGTTAGCTGGTAACCCAGCGCTGGGTAAATATTGGACAGAACACAAACTGGGTTATTTTGACCCAGCCATGTTGGGTGGTTTGGATTACCCAAACAGGTTAATTTAACAATTAGTTGGGTTTATATTCACGTTCATGCTGCGTTGACCCAGAAGCTGGGTCTTTTTTTACTCTAATCCATAGGTTATTTTCAGGAGACATGGCCTATTAGGGGCGTGTCTTTCAGGTAGTTATTTCTGGCCACTCGTGGGAGTAAATGTCATTCATGTTAACTTTGTACACTGCACATTATTATTTTCCTTTAATATTTTTGCACTTACATATACTAATATAAAATTAATAACATTATTATTTACATATTGTAACAAAGTGGTAACTATCCCAACATTGGGCTATGCATAGGCTCTTGAAGAACTCATACTCTTGTGTAAGCCTCATTAAAGCTACAAAAGTATCAGTGTTCAACCTTAACATGTGATAACAATACAATAGAACAGATGAACCGGAATTAAATGTTACTCTCACGGGGGGCCAAAAATAACTATCTGAAAGCCACGCCCCAACTAAGCCACGCTTCCAGTCTTATCTCAATAACCCAGCATCAACAACGCAACTGTGCTCTTTTTAAAGAAAACAACTCAACTAAGTGACCCAATGCCTGCAACCCAGCAGATTGGTCATCCAAACAACCCAGCAACCCAGAGTGTAAGCCTATTTGCTTGTCTGTTTGTTTGGTGGAGAATCGGAAGTGTTCCCTGTGACAAAGTCACCACAATAAGCAAGTTATCCTAAAGTAAAAACAGCCACAACCTTCCAAAATCCCCCTGAGCCAGGTGCAAGGGGAGAGAAAAAGGGACAACAAGCTGGCTGACATCTTTAAGTCAAAAGGTAAGCTAAAACAAATGTAATTTTAACTAGGCTGTAGGCTAATAACTTCACAATACTTTAGGTCTACATTTAAACTATGCTACATCAACAAATTGTGTGGTGACTTTGACAGAACTTTGAGTTGATTAAATTGTGACAAATTCAACAAGAAACCAGTAGAATACCGGGATATTACAAGGATGGTTGCAATTTTCTCGGGAAGAAAAATGTATAGATTTTCAGGAAAATATTCAACCCTAGTGTGTGTGTGTTCTGTACTCACGGTTCTATGCTGACTGGAGTGGCCTCGCCGATCACAGAGAGGACTGGTGGGGTTATGTCAACGCTGTCTGAAAAACACAAAAAACTAACTTTGTATTTTCTTTATTAACCCTTATTTTACCAGGTAAGTTGACTGAGAACACATTCTCATTTACAGCAACAACCTTGGGAATAGTTACAGGGGAGATGAATGAGCCAATTGGAAGCTGGGGATGATTAGGTGGCATGAGGACCAGATTGGGTATTTAGCCAGGACTTCAGGGTTAACACCCCTACTCTTACGATAAGTGCCATGGGATCTTTAGTGACCACAGAGAGTCAGGACATCCGTTTAACGTTCCATCCGAAAGACAGCACCCTACACAGGGCAATGTCCCCAATCACTGCCCTGGGGCATTGGGATATTATTTTAGACCAGAGGAAAGAGTGCCTCCTACTGGCCCTCCAACACCACTTCCATCAGCATCTGGTCTCCCATCCAGGACCAACCCTGCTTAGCTTCAGAGGCAAGACAGCAGTGGGATGCAGGGTGGTATGCTGCTGGCTAAACTTTTAAATTCACTGTCCTTATATCTCCTCCTTATCTTCTTACAGCAGAAGATATTTAGTATGAGCTGAGCTAATCTCATGCGTGTTGCTCAAGAAAAGTTTATATGAAAGAATAATGTTATGGTTCAACTCCCACAGCTACAGTTCATTCTGAGGATAGCTTGTTCAAACCATAATGTCCGGTTTCCAGGTCCCAGATTAAGCCTTTCCCTGGACTAAAAAGCATGAGAGAATCTCCATTGAGAGTGGTTTTTAGTCCAGGACTTGTCTTAAACTGTCTGGGAAACTGGTGCCAAATGATCTACAACCCCCAGCAGGACCCAGGTAGAATATGTTTGGACTACAAATCCTAGTCGGACCCAGGTTGAGTTATGTTTGGACTACAAATCCCAGTAGGATTTAGGTAGAACATCTTTGAACTACAACCCCCAGTAGGACCCCAGGTAGTGGTACTCACTGGATCTCAGCAGGCTGCGTGTGGCTGATTTGGGTGTTATGGGTGGAGGCAGACCCTGGCTGGAGACAGCAGCTGCAGCAGAGGAGAGGAAGGTAGAGAAGTAGAGACCTGATCCCTCTCTCACCGGGCTGAGGATGGGCGGGGGGGTGTAGGGGGGCATGGTTAGGGGGTTGTCAATCAGCCGGACAGGGGAGCGGAGGTGGCTCTGGTAGGGAGTGATGCTGGAGTAGACAGGAGGGGCGATGAAGGTGCCAGGTTTGGGAGGCGGGATGAAGAGAGGCTCGGGCCGGGGACGCCGTTTGGACTTTCTTCCGTCGTCGTCGTCTTTCCCTCCCTGGGTTCCGCCGTTCTAAAGAAGGAGGTAGAACATCAGTACAAACATATTTACATAACTGACAACACGGCACTGTTCCAATGTCCAAACTAGCATACACCAGTTAGTAAGAAGAGATGTATTGTAAGTGAGTTGTTTATCTGGTCTGATACTAAAGAGCGAGGATACATTCTACAATATGTCCAGCTCACCCCCACCCTATCTACATTATCCCCCCATACATTACATGACCAGTTCACCCCCACCCTATCTACATTATCCCCCCATACATTACATGTCCAGTTCACCCCCACCCTATGTACATTATCCCCCCATACATTACATGACCAGTTCACCCCCACCCTATCTACATTATCCCCCCATACATTACATGACCAGTTCACCCCCACCCTATCTACATTATCCCCCCATACATTACATGTCCAGTTCACCCCCACCCTATGTACATTATCCCCCCATACATTACATGTCCAGTTCCCCCCCACCCTGGTAGTTGTACAGTACATATCCCCTCATACATTGTACTGTATGTACAGTACAGTAGCAGGCTATATCTCCATCTATAGTGTGGATAACCCCTGCTAATCTGCTTGACCTGATCTGAGGCAGCAGGGGGGAGGGAGGTTTGGAATGAGGGCAAGGGGGGAGAGAGAAACATGGGGGAACCAGGGGAGAGTGCGGTGCTGGATAAGGGGGAGGGGGAGAGAGGATGGTGGCAGGATATGAGGGATTATAGGAGAAGGGGGGCATGAACCAAGCTCGTTAGTTAGGTGTGAGGGGAGGGGAAGACTTGCTGGACCCACCTGTCCTGAGCTGTCCGTCAGAGAGTTCCTGAGCGATCGTCGGCGGGTGACGATGACGGAGGGTTTGCGGTCCATGCTGGTCATATCCTGGAGCGTGGAGGGTCGCTGTGGCCAGCCTGTGCCCAGGATAGAGTGCTCCCTGTCTGGGGAGGATGAGGACGAGAGGGGGTCTGGCCTCCGTACGGGGACTGACACAGGGATGACCAGGGGCATCATGCTCTCATCACGAGGCTGCTTGGCGCTGTGACCTCCTGAATCCCTTTCCATGGTCCCTCGCCCTGGCGCTGGTCTTTGGGGGCTCCAGGGCCTGTGTGGCTGCTCCTGCGGACGAGATAGACAGATACACATACCTGACTTGAAGCTACCTGAACAGGCTTCCTTTACAGATCAAATGAGCAACCATAGCTATTCCTTACTACGTAATGTATTACCATCTTTGTGTTGCTGTATTGAAGTAGAGTTATGGAAAACCTGTTTCAGCAGAACTATACTGCCCGGAAGCTAACAGAAGTATATTGCCGGAAAGTGAATTTCCATTCCCTAAATAAACATCCTAAAATGAAGTGAGATTGTTGCACATCCCTAGTAGAGTCTTTCATCAGCTGAAGCCCCGAGGAGTGAGTGAGTGTGGCAGAAGCCTATAGGAGTGAGTGAGTGTGACAGAAGCCTATAGGAGTGAGTGAGTGTGGCAGAAGCCTATAGGAGTCAGCATGGCCTGGTGCTGGAGCCCCATTCACTGTCTATTCCCAGTGGAAAAGTCCAGCCTCCAGCCCCAACACCAGGACAGGAGAGACAGGAGAAAGAGAGGCATATATTCTGCTGAGCACTGCACCCCGGCCCCCTACCCCAGCGCCCCTGCCCTCCACTGCCTGTACCCCTCCCCAACAGAGCCCCCCAGGAGGTGGAGTTTCAGCCCTATGGTGGAATGAATGGGGGAGGAGTGCAGAGTGAAACGGGTCTAGTCAGCATTCAGCAACGTAGCAGTCCTATTTTATATTGTATATGGTAAGGCATGAGGCACCCACGATGGAATGCACAGTTACAAGCTAACTGCACAGTCAGGTAGGGGAAGACCAGGGCTGCATATCACAGCAATACCATCATCACTCACCATGTTGTTCTGTATTATAGAGTAATAGGTCAAAACTTGCACTGTTTTCTAGCAGTTTCTTTTACACAAAAAGATCAGGAGTAGTGCTTATTATCTATCAATTTAGCTGTACCTGAAGACCGTCACTCTGGATAAGAGCGTCTGCTAAATGACTCAAATGTAAACAAAAAAATGCACTGTAATGTTCTGTACTGCTAAATCATTCAGTTCTGCTGTTTTTCTATTGGGCTGATGATTGCTTATTCCGCTCAGCAAAGTGCTAATCATTCATAAAGAACATAATTTCTGACTCAGTTGGCCTTGGCAGATGCATTAAGGTTTTTGTTTTTGTTGTAATTCTAGATAAGGGAGACATAATCGCTCTGCAATTATACCCAGGTAAACAACAACAAAATGGATGTTTTATTAATGCATCTCCTCCAGCCCAACAACTCTTCAGCACTGTGTGTTTGAATAGATTTGTAAGCGAGTGCATGTGTATGCATGAAAAGTTGGGTTAGAATTAGGGGTTGGCAATATTCAAATATTATCATGACTTTTTTGGGGATAGCCAGATAGATTAAAAAAACGCATTGATCTGTGTCAGGTCTTGTGGAAACTCCGTTAGGTATGTGCCTGTAATTGCTATTGAAGTGGGGAGAGTAGCATATGTCAGAGTAGGCTGGAGGGCTAAATGGTATAATATCCTTGTAGGTAACAATTTCACAAGGATAAATCTAATTTAATGTATAACTAAGCTTTTTCATTGTCAAATCGTAACACTCACTCAAGTAATCTAATACTAACTTCCGTTCAGATATCCGGATATCTGGATAACAGTGTCCATTCCTAGTTGGAATTGAGGGTGGGATATGCCTGTTAAATCATGTAACTACACTATACCCTTCAAAGCATTATCACAAGCACCACGAGCACCAGGACATGCAGCAATATTTACCTTGACAATGTGTGGCGGTAGTGACTCCATCTCTGAAGCTTTCTGGGCCAGTGTCTCCAGGTTAACCTCCTGGGAAACCCTCAGTTTCCTGTGTGTGCTCTGAATGACCCCTGTAGGGGCCAACTGGGCAGCGTGGACCTCTTCCACCTTGGGGGCTCCACCTTGCCCTTCAGAGGCCCCGTTCTGGGCCCCATCAGATGGGATGACGAAAGGGTTGTCAACTGGTGGTGGTCCACCTTCCTTGGAGAGTCTCCTGGACCGTCGAGGCTGCAGCTGGAGCTGGGGAGGCTGGAGCTGGGTCTGTGTGGGGGGGAACTGAGGGTCTGTGTGGGGGGGAATGTGTGGAGAGTCTGGGGACGTCTCCTGGAGGTCTGGGGGGGTTGGTGGAGGAATGGTCTCCTGGGAGTGCACCAACACGGGCGGCTGGGAGTGAGGGTGTGGGTGGGTAGGTGGGTTCTGGTTGTTGGGGTAATATTCTAGTACATGTTGTGGTTGTTGCTGCAATTGCTGTTGTTGTATTTGGTGTCGTTGTTGTATTCGTTGCTGTATTTGTTGCTGTTGTATTTGTTGTTTTTGTTGTATCTGTAGTTGTATTTTCTGCTGTTGCTGCTGTTGATGCTGAAGCATTTGCTGCTGCTGCATCTGATGGTGTTTTTGTTGCATTTGTTGTTGTTGCTGTAATATTTGTTGCTGTTGACGTTGTTGTATTTTCTGCTGCTCCTGCTGTTGCAGCTGGAGCTGTGGATGTTGTTGGGGTTGTGGATGCTGTTGGGGATGCTGTTGGGGTTGTGGATGCTGTTGCGGTTGCGGTTGGGGTTTGGATTGTTGGGGTTGGGGTTGTTGGACGTTGTAGTTCAGATTGGGTAAAGTCCGGTTGCCCCCCTGAAACACCTGGTAGTAGCCAGCCGTTAGGTGCTGCTTGGGCTGGCCGAAGGCTAGCTGGAAGGGCTGAAGCACAGAGCTTCCCCCAGGGTTGGATGTGCTATGCTGGGCGTTTAGAGCACCAGGTTTAAGGGTCTGTGGGAACGCCTGGGACTGCTGTTGGGAAGCATGATGCTGCTGTTGCTGCTCCCACTCTAGACTGTGAGCCTTGGCCACATTCCTAGTGTCTCTGTAGGCCTCTCCTCCAGCAGGGAGAGGGTTAAGGTTAACCACCTGCTGCTGCTGGGGCGGCTGCTTCTCTGCAGCCCTACTAGGGGGCTGGGGCTGCTGTGGCTCCAGGGGTGAAGGCCCCTCACGGATCTGCTGCTTGACAAACGCAGTCTGGATCTGGGACCGTGAGTCACCGACGCCTCCTAGGTACGGAGCAAAGTTCTGTCCCCAGTTAGCCATAGTGACACCCTGTGTCCAGTTCCCAGTCCCAGTTCTTTGTGGAGGCTGCGGTTGGGCTGCTGGGTCCTGGTGAGCCCACTTCATGGGTACAGTCTGTTGGTAATGTCCCCGACTCTGGTCTCCTTTCTCTGGGCTGAAGATCACTGAGTTGAGGTACATACCAGTATGGGGGGCCTCTGGATTGGAGGTTGTGGAGGTGACGGTGCCTGCAGCCTCACTCTGCCCAGGACCAGGCCCTGAGGCTGGGGCACCAAGGCTGTAGTAAGAACCTTCTGGATGCTGCTGAGAGGATGTCTCCTTCATTGCCACTCCTTGGTCGTTGAAAAATGAGATCCGCTTGCCTGTTCTCTTACTGTTTAGTTTCTGCTGGGGTGGTAAACTCATGGCTAGCATGAATAACGGTGCAAGGTTGAGGTGGGGGGGCTATGGGGTACTAGGTGCATAACAGTCCCCCAACCACACAACCCACCAACCAACGTCCCCTTTAACTGGCCCTATCTGAACACAAAAGGAATAGAATGTTCACAGCACACACCCTAGGAGAGGGGGTTGCATATTTTAACGGAAATCACATGTGCAACCAACAGCCAGGGAGTTGGACTGGACGTAGACAAAACCCAATCTTCTTCCCTTTAACTCCTCTTCCTGCTGTATTGAGAGGTTGCCGGTGCTGATAGAGATGTCTGGATGTCCACTGGCCTCGTTCATTCATGGGAGACACCCTGTGAAGAGACCAGAAGGGTCAGGCATGTTTTACAGGGCAGTCCAGAAAGGTCGAAAACATGGGTCCTAATGGTCCTATTGTAAAAGCTGCCTGCAGCCATGTAAAAACCTGCTATGGCCTGGGGGCCTTTCCAACACAATGGAGTACCAGTGAAAGGTATCGGGTTGGGTGGGAAAGGTGGGAATGAAAGTGTGTGAGCATGTGTTTAAAGTGTGCCTGCCTGACACCCTGTATGCTGTGTCCTTATCCATGTGTCATGTGAGCTATGCTAGTAATGAGACAGCTCAGCACACACACACACACAGACACACACACTGAAGCAGGACTAATTGCAGAAGGAATGTTGTTATAAAGGTTAAATACTTCCTGATCATATGGTAACTAACTGGCTCCAGCAGTGAAAGGACCACTTCAGGCCACCATCACTTTACATTAGGTTCTGAGATTGACACAGCAGGGGATATGAGGATGCACTACAGCCATCAAACACACAGACACACACACTCACACATGCACGTGCATAGACAGCGTTTCATACACACCACATCTTGTGAGAATGAGTCTGAGTTGACCAATAGTCACGGTTGTGGCTCATTGATCATTTCAGCTTCCTCTAATGTTGCAGTCTGGAACTTAATTGACTTGCTGTAGAAAGGGTTTCATATTTAAGCAAGGCCGTGCTATATAATGAATACAGTGGCAGGTAAATGCCGTTGTTCGGCCAGTCAACCCACTTACCTATGACTGTATTCATTATATAGCACTGACTTGCGTGCCTTATTGCTTTTATAAAACAGTTAACAACATATTAAAATAACAATGACAAAGAATTACCATACATTACCATAATTCTTATAAATAAATTCATACAATTCCACAAGAAGATATAGTCCGGACATCATTCTGGTCATGTTGCTATGCAAAATAACTGGTCGTCTGTTCTAACCATAGAGATCTTATTCAATTACTATGTATTCTAATTCCTAATTATATGGTTCTAACATAAACGGTTGCTATGCAGGCTGACTAATGTTATTGTCACTTGCTAGCTAGCTAGCCAACTTCAGCTAACACAGTCACATCAAACATTGGACCTGGAATGACAGTAAACTAGCCGCATTTTCATTTGTTTTAGCTTTTTTCAATTGACATTTAATTGAATATATCCATAATATTGATGGGTGATTTCATCTGGCTCAGAAAATGTTAATGTCTCGTCTGGACAACATTCACTCTCTATGGTACAGGAGAGATCGCATTTCAAAAGTGAAACATTGTTTGAGTTCAGAGGGAGACAGCAAGGTTTATATTAACCCCCGCTGTTAGCTTAGAAGCACGGTGAGTGCGAGTTGAGATAAATTCAAGAGAGGATTCAGACAGCAACATTGAACATGATGATATTCACATGGGCAGTGATAATTCAGTTGGAACTGTTAGCAGGTGGGATACTGAGACTCAGATCTTTCACTTTAAAATGTATGCCAAACAAAAACCAATGATTGCAAAGTTAAACAAACCATACAACTCTATGCACAAGGACAACTTTTAAAAAGTGTAACAATTTCCACGACATTTTGTGCCGTCTTTCTGTTACCAAACATTGCATGTACACTCCAAGTAAATGTGTTTTATAATTTTTTTTTTTTAAAGTAGTCCATAGAGTTGCATGGTTTGTTTAACTTTGCAATCATTGGTTTTGTTTGACGTACATTTTAGGGCTGACCCCATTTAGTCGACTGGTCAATGGTTGACTGAGATCTCTTTAGTCGAGCAGTAGCAAAAAATATATATATATATTATTATTTTTTTTGAGCAGTGTATGTATGTATATATATATATATACACTGCTAAAAATAAATAAAGGGAACACTTAAACAACACAATGTAACTCCAAGTCAATCACACTTCTGTGAAATCAAACTGTCCACTTAGGAAGCAACAATGATTGACAATACATTTCACATGCTGTTGTGCAAATGGAATAGACAACAGGTGGAAATTATAGGCTATTAGCAAGACACCCCCAATAAAGGACTGGTTTTGCAGGTGGTGACCACAGACCACTTCTCAGTTCCTATGCTTCCTGGCTGATGTTTTGGTCACTTTTGAATGCTGGCGGTGCTTTCACTCTAGTGGTAGCATGAGACGGAGTCTACAACCCACACAAGTGGCTCAGGTAGTGCAGCTCATCCAGGATGGCACATCAATGCGAGCTGTGGCAAGAAGGTTTGCTGTGTCAGTCAGCGTAGTGTCCAGAGCATGGAGGCGCTACCAGGAGACAGGCCAGTACATCAGGAGACGTGGAGGAGGCCGTAGGAGGGCAACAACCCAGCAGCAGGACTGCTACCTCCGCCTTTGTGCAAGGAGGAGCAGGAGGAGCACTGCCAGAGCCCTGCAAAATGACCTCCAGCAGGCCACAAATGTGCATATGTCTGCTCAAACGGTCAGAAACAGACTCCATGAGGGTGGTATGAGGGCCCGACGTCCACAGGTGGGGGTTGTGCTTACAGCCCAACACCGTGCAGGACGTTTGGCATTTGCCAGAGAACACCAAGATTGAAAAATTCGCCACTGGCGCCCTGTGCTCTTCACAGATGAAAGCAGGTTCACACTGAGCACATGTGACAGACGTGACAGAGTCTGGAGATGCCGTGGAGAACGTTCTGCTGCCTGCAACATCCTCCAGCATGACCGGTTTGGCGGTGGGTCAGTCATGGTGTGGGGTGGCATTTCTTTGGGGGGCCACACAGCCCTCCATGTGCTCGCCAGAGGTAGCCTGACTGCCATTAGGTACCGAGATGAGATCCTCAGACCCCTTGTGAGACCATATGCTGGTGCGGTTGGCCCTGGGTTCTTCCTAATGCAAGACAATGCTAGACCTCATGTGGCTGGAGTGTGTCAGCAGTTCCTGCAAGAGGAAGGCATTGATGCTATGGACTGGCCCGCCCGTTCCCCAGACCTGAATCCAATTGAGCACATCTGGGACATCATGTCTCGCTCCATCCACCAACGCCACGTTGCACCACAGACTGTCCAGGAGTTGGCGGATGCTTTAGTCCAGGTCTGGGAGGAGATCCCTCAGGAGACCATCCGCCACCTCATCAGGAGCATGACCAGGCGTTGTAGGGAGGTCATACAGGCACGTGGAGGCCACACACACTACTGAGCCTCATTTTGACTTGTTTTAAGGACATTACATCAAAGTTGGATCAGCCTGTAGTGTGGTTTTCCACTTTAATTTTTAGGGTGACTCCAAATCCAGACCTCCATGGGTTGATAAATGTGATTTCCATTGATCATTTTTGTGTGATTTTGTTGTCAGCACATTCAACTATGTAAAGAAAAAATATTTAATAAGATTATTTCATTCATTCAGATCTAGGATGTGTTATTTTAGTGTTCCCTTTATTTTTTTTGAGCAGTGTATATATAGTGCCAGTCAAAAGTTGGGGCACACCTACTAATTCAAGGGTTTTTCTACATTTCTACTATTTTCTACATTGTAGAAGAGAGTGCAAAGCTGTCATCAAGGCAAAGGGTGGCTATTTGAAGAATCTCAAATATAAAATATATTTTGATTTGTTTAACACTTTTTTTGGTTACTACATGATTCCATATGTGTTATTTCATAGTTTTGATGTCTTACTATTATTCTACAATGTAGAAAATAGTAAAAAATAAAGAAAAACCCTTGAATGAGTAGGTGTGTCCAGACTTTTGACTGGTACTATAAGTCATTCATGATTTGAAATGCAATTAAGCACTTTAGTTTTAAAATAAAGTGAGCCTTGAATAATTTCCTTAAACAATAAATAAACCGTTCCACTTTGGAAATTCCATTCACAAATGAATGCGACTGTTTTTATTATTCGCTGTAATAAAGGCTTTACAAAAAACTTATAATTTGTTTACATTGTTCCAAACGGTCCGAAAAAATTATATTGTAATCTAACAACACCTGTTTGGCACACATAATATGCACGCAGCGCTTGCTCCTTACCTTATTTTTCTTGATCTCCAGTATTTTCCACAACTAGTCACATTTATTCCACACATCTGACTTCCCCTTTACCTCATGAGCAACCAGTAGCCTAAACATTCCACAGTGTCGAGTTTATTTGTTACGTCCTCTGCATCCATTTAGCTGATACGGTGTTCAGAGTTTGTTATAACCAATTTATTGATGTGATTATGATATGCTATAGGTCAGGCCCTATTGGTCACGTGAATGTGATACATACATGTGTCACGTACAGAGAGCAAAGGTTGAGGGAATAGGGAATGTTTTTCCTAAACAAATGAGGGATTTCGGTAACAGAACTTTTCAGTCAGAAATGGCTGTAATTATGTTGCAGCTTCAGCAACACGGACAGCTTGATAAACCCTGTGGTGGTCGTTGCAGCAGGGAGGAGAGAGAGACAACGAGAGCTAGTCACAGTCACTCACTGTCTTTTTTTTTAACAGAGCGCAGCAAGTCTGAGCCCGGCCTGGCACAATCAAATCAATTGCTGGTCGGACTCCCTCTAGTCATTTGTGTGTCTTAATTATTTCATCAAACAGTGTGCTTAAAGCATCAGACTTGCTCTTTTTGCAATGGTCTCTGAATCATCCAGGACAAAAGGGGAACCTGTCACCACTTGATCATGTTCCTGCATCGTCA